CCCTCTCGCCCCGCTAGCCAGTCCACGCAAGCTGTGGGAACCCACCCTTGTGACGAAGTGATCCACCCCGCCGGCCCGAACCCTGCGTCGCCCGACCCGCGACCACGGGAACCTCCCAGCCCACGACGCACTCCCGTTCCCAAACCATCACCCAGACCACTGCACCCACCAATTCACGGAAGCTGTGGGAACCCACCCGTTCCCCGAACGGATGCCCCCCGCCCCGCCTATCCCCGTCGCCCGATGATAATGGTGATGATGGTGATGATGATCATCCTGATCATGATGATGCTGATGATGCTGATGATGATGATGATGATCCCCCCGGCCTGTCCACGCAAGCTGTGGGAACCTCCCTTGGCCCGCCAGCCCCCAGTTCAATTACCTCCTCCACCACTGCACGCAAGCTGCGGGAACCCACCCGCTGCCCCAACAGATGCGCCCCGCCCGATTCCACCCCCATCGCGCCCCCCGCGTAAGCTGTCATATCCACCTGCCTGCGACAGTCCCGCCACCGCGCCATTCCAGCAAGCTCGGCGGCATTCGTTCGAGGGAACACCGGAGACCGTAAGAACGAGGGATGAACAACCTGATAACGACGATGTTGACGAGTATAATCATGATGATGACGATGATGATGATGATGATGATGATAAGATGATTATGGCTATGATGATGGTGATGATCACGATGGTCATGATGATGCTGACCATGATGAACATGATGATGCTGAGGAGGACGAGGATGCTGACGATGTTGGTGAGGCTGGTGATGATGATAACGACGACGACGAAGATGATGCTGCTGATGACGATGATGATGATGATGATGATGATGATGATGATGATCCCCTGCTCTCTCCACGCAAGCTGTGGGAACCTCCAAGGCCACGACGCACCCCGACCTCTGGCGCCCGACCTCTCCCCGCCTGCAGTCCGCCCCCCCCCCCCCGGCCTCTCCAGCCACCGCTCCTTTCCCTCATCTCCCTGTTCTGCCGATCCCCTCCAGGAGCTTCAAAGACTGCCGCTCCCACAATGGCTCGCAGTATCCTACTTACGAGGAGGCCATGCTGGCGACGGGCATGTTTGCCAAGGACGACGAGGCCGCCCGGGTCCACCAAGAACTCGTGGAATTACGGTACACGGCCCACCAGCTACGTTTCGCTTTTGTTGTGCTCCTCGACCTCGATGCTAAGCCGACGACGTTGTACGGCGCATTCGAGAAGCACCTGATGAAAGACTCTCTCGACCGAGGGATGACGCCGTCTACTGCTGCGGCGGAATTGAAGCGATGCTTACGCCTGGCTGCGGCTGCGCAGGACCGTGCCGACGCGTTGGCCTTCTTGGACGTGCCCGTGCCCATAGCATTAACGAGCAGGCAGTCCACCGACAGCACTCCTCCTAGAACAGCCACGGCGACCACCCCAATTTTCCACGCACTCCAGGCTCGCTTCTTGGGAGCCGTTTCCGAACCTCTCGGAGCCTGTTTTGAACCTCTTGGAGCGTCTTTTGGGCGTCTGGGGGCCTGCTGGAGGCTTCTTGGGGGCCTCTCAGAGCCTCCCGGGCGCCTCTCAGGGCAGTCTGGAGGCCCCCTGGAGCTCCTGGAGGCAGAAAACCCGATTTCAAGATTCTGTTTGTAGGCCGCTGGGGCTCCCTTGAATCCCTCTGGAGCCGTTTTGGGCGACTCTTGGACCGTCTTGGAGCCCTCTTTGTCCATCTTGGGGCCATGATGGGGGCCTCTCGGGCCGTCTTGGAGCCGTCTGCGAGGCCTCTTGGCCCGTCTTGGAGCATCAGAAACGGAAAACGCGAACAATTCAAAATCCTTCAAGCCTCCGTATTTCGACACATCGGCTCAAGCCGACAGTGGGAACAGTAACCTCTGACACACAGCTTCGATGCCGAACCGACCAAAGGTCCGTTTCTGCGCGACGCACCCTAGGCACCAACTCAGTAAACGGGGACATTGTTGGAAGTGCCGCAGTTTACAAGATAGGTTACGTCATGGGGGTCGGCTTGGTGGTGCTGCCGCCGGGCCGACTAAAGCGAGGTACGGCATCAACAACGGCAAGTGCAGGGCCCTGCGAAGCAACCGCCGCTCGTGGAATATCACCACCATCACATTCCCCATCCTCCAGCACCTGCTGAAGAAGCTCCACGAGAGACGAGAACAACGCGCAGCAAAACCATTACTTCGCAGAAACATATTGCCTGCCTGGGTCTTGGCGGCCGCAGACATTGACAAGGCCATCCGCATAATGAACACCACGCGCTTCGGCAACCCCGACCGCTTCAAAGACCGGGTGAGCGTGGAAATCCAGGGAGCTCTACGGCGAGTCAGGGATCCGAGCACACAGGCGGCAGTATGCATCGGTGTCCGGCATCGCCAAAGCCCGCGGGGCCTCGCAGCGCACCTCGGGACCGCCAGCTTGGATGACATCGGGGCTGCTTTAACCCACACCAAGCGAGGCCTCCGGACCTACCGCCTGACCGGCCTCTCGGACAAGCAGTTGGCCATCGGCCTGTCGGCCGCCTCTGCTGCGTGCGCCGCCCGCCGCCCGTTCTCCGACTGGGCGGCGTTGGAGAACGAGATAGCGAAGCAGATGCGGAAGTATTGTCGGGGGCGCGGCCGGGAATACTTCTCGGCTCGGCAGGCGGCCGCTGACCTGACCCAGGTGCCAGGATGGGTGAACGGCCTCGGGCCCGGCTCCCGCCCCGCCACATCGCGCGCCGGCCCCGGAGCCCAGGCTGGCCATTATTTGGCCGAGGCCGCCGCCGGCAAGAGGACGAAACACGCCCCGCGCTTCATGAACTACACGGAGCAAACGGAGAAGTGTGAATACAGCAAACTCATATGCCGGCTGAACTTCCCCGCGGCCACGGCCGCCGCGACGCGCGCGCCGACGCCCAATTAGGTGCCCACGCGAATAGCGCTGCGCCGCGCGGGGGGACGCGCGACGCCCACGTTCGGAAAAAAAACTCCGCGCGTTGGCCGGCCAGCCGGTCCCGCTCTCAAAAACGAAGCCGTCGGCGTGAACCAAAATTGGCTTCGCCCGAGGGGTGGCTCCGCGCCCCGGGATATGCTCCATCCTTAGGAAAACTCACACCCTCGACGGCCCCTCGGCGCCAGCGTGCCCGGAGAGCGCCAGACGCACCCCATCTTGGGGCCGAACAGACAAAGCAGCCGTCGACGTAAACCAAAATTTGTTCAGCGCGTGGGGTGGCTCCGCGCCCCAGGACATGCTTCTTCCTTACGAAAACCCACAGCCACGACAGCCTCTCGGCACGGCGTGCCCGAAACGCCAGAAGCCCCCATCTGGGGCCCGAAAAAGAAAAAGCAGCCGTCGACGTAAACCAAAAATTGGTTGGTTCAACCCGTCGGGTGGTTTTGCGCCCGCGCACATGCTGATTCCGCACGAGAACACGCACACACACGAACGCACAAACACACAAACAGACAAACACACACACACACACACACGCACGCACGAACAGACACACACACATACATACATACATACACACACGCACACACACCACACACACGGCAGCCCCTCGGCGCCCGCGTGCCCGGAGGGCGCCAGAAGCCCCCCATCCGAGGCCCCGAAGAAAATGATGCCCGTCGACGTGAAGCAAAAATTGATTCGGTACGTCGGGTGGCTCTGCGCTTCCGGACATGTTCACGCCTTACGAAAACACACACCCACGCAGCCCTGAGGGCGCCGGCGTGCCCGGAGGGCGCCAGACGCCCAGGAGGCCCGGTGCGAAAAAACAGCCCTCGACGTGAACCAAAAATTGTTTGGGCCCGTCGGGTGGCTGTGGGCTGCCTTACATGCTCACTCCTGATGAAAACCCACGCCCACGGTGGCCCCACGACCACCAGCACGACAACAAGCACGCCGCCAGCGTGACCGCCAGCACCACCGCCCACTAGCACCACCGCCCACAAGCACCATCCCCCGCACGACCGCCACCATAACGAGCAGCATGGCCACCAGCACGCCCGCCGGCACGGTGTCCAACACGAGCGCCAGCGCGACCACAGGCACGGCCACCAACCCATTGTACTCCGAATCGGTGCTGCGATAACATCATGCTTCATCCCCCATAGCCGCTGAGCTCGCGACACACATCAAATTTACACCCACATGGCAATGGAAGTTCACGAGCTCGCCACATTCTGTGACCAGAAAGCGCGGCGGGATACCAGACCAGCGCTCCTGCGCCAAGGATGAGGATGAGGGACAAGATGTTGTGGCGAAGCGAAGCGAGCCGACAAGATCTTGTATATATATATATATATATATATATATATATATATTATATATATATATAAAACATTTTGGGGCCTGCCCGTCGGGGGACATGCCCGTCCTAAGTTTAATAAAAGGGACTCAGGATGACAGAGCGGTCCCGGGGAATGGATCGGGACTTCTGTCAACCCCGTCTTGAATATGGTGGGGGCCTTCGTTGAGGAGCGTGCTCAGGAGGCTTCCGACCTTGGAGGCTTGATTCGCTGATGAGAGAGGTGGTGATATCCATGACCAATCCGCGATTCGAGTTCCACCGGCTTCCTGACCCTGGGTTCCTTATCGAAGGATTCCTGATCCAATGCCCTCACCGTATGAAATGACCCAAGACGTCCGATGTCTGGGCTTCGCGCGGCCGACCGCCGAAGACAGCCAGAGAGTCAGGCGATTGCCGCCAGAGGCCGCCTGCTGCCGCCGAGAGAACGCCGAACGCCGCCGAGAGGCCGCCGAGAGACGGCGGAGCTATCGCCGCCGGCCGGTGGGCGACCGCGCCAGAGGGGACGGCCGCGCCTGGTGTCTGCTGCGTCTCTGGTGGCAGTGGCAGCTCCCGGGGGGATCACTGATGATGGTCTCATTTTCCACCACCACCGCAAGTTGGAGGGGCCAAGGAGGTGGGGGATGAGGAGGAGGAAGAAGAGGAGGAGGACGAACACGGCGCGTGGGTGTCAGGGATGGTCGAACGCGTGAAGAGGCCATGGGCGTGCTCACGGGCTACATGTGCGACATCGTGCAGATCTCGGACATGCCCGAGGACGCCGCGTGGGAGTACGTGCGCGCCATGCTTGGCGAGGGCTTCCTCCTCTGCAGCGGCACCAAGAACGGGGCCGACGCTCCCGAGGTTCGGGGGGGGGCCATGGCTCACTACAAGATTTTCCAACGTCTTCTTTGCTTCTCGGAGGCTTTCTCGCATCGGGATGATTTCTAGCAGCGGCGCCTCGCCGAGGACGTTCCAGGGATGCCGGAATCCGGCCCCGGACGGCCGCGCTAGGCCCGAGTTGTGACCCCAACGCCGACATCTTCGCGCCGTGGAAGACTCACGGCGTCGCCTTGTGTTGCTGCAAGACACAAATACAGGTTCGGCCTTCGGGCGCCCTGGCTGGGCCCCCAGAGCTGGCAGAGCACGACTCAGGATTCAGAGCCGGTCCCTGGGGCCAGGCTCTCCTCACCTATGGGGAGCCACGCTGTGACAAAAGCCACGGCGACGGCTGTCAGGGAGGCCAGACGTACCCCAGACACGTACCCTCGAGAGGGGTCCTCAGAGCCCACCTGTGGACACCCAGCAGAGGAGGAGGAGGAGGAGGAGGAGGAGGAGGAGGAGGTTGAGGAGGAGGAGGAGGAGGAGGAGGAGGAGGAGGAGGAGGAGGAGGAGGAGGAGGAGGAGGAGGAGGAGGAGGAGGAGGAGGAGGAGGAGGAGGAGGAGGAGGAGGAGGAGGAGGAGGAGGAGGAGGAGGAGAGGAGGAGGAGGAGGAGGAGGAGGAGGAGGAGGAGGAGGAGGAGGAGGAGGAGGAGGAGGAGGAGGAGGAGGAGGAGGAGGAGGAGGAGGAGGGGAGGAGGAGGAGGAGGAGGAGGAGGAGGAGGAGGAGTCCGATCTTGGCGCATGCTGCGGCTGGAGCCGCGGGCCCTGCGACGCCGCCCTGGGGGTGATTGCGTTGCCCTGGGGGTGATTGCGTTGCCCTGGGGGTGCGTTGGTCCGACGGTGGGCTACGCCGCGCAAACACACGAGGTCGGATGTCTAGGATCCAGGATGGACCCCTCCTTCTACTCCTCGTCGTCCTTCTCCTCCTCCTCCTCGTCCTCCTCCTCCTCCTCCTCCGCCTCTTTCTCCTCTTTCTCCAGAAGCTCCTGGGGGCAAGTAGTGGCGCCGCCCTGGGGGTGCGCCCCCCCGCTCCCCAAGAGGCGAAGGCCCTGGGCCTGACGGTGGGGCACGCCTACTCCCTGCTGACCGCGCACGAGAGTCCGCTGCCGGGGGGCGCGTCGCTGCGGCTGCTGGAGCTGAGGAGCTCAGGGGCAGCGTCCGAGGAGGGACTGGCTTTTCTGGGTTTGGGGGAGACGAGGTGTTACTGTGGCCCGTTGGTTGTTAGTGCGGCCCGTTGGGTGTTAGTTGTTAGATGGCCAGGTTTCCTCCAGAGGGTATTAATCAACGAGTACGGGCCACACTAACACCCAACGGGCCACACACTAACACCCAACGGGCCACAGTAACAACCAGTCGCGGGTTGGGGGGGGGACGCATCGACCCCCGATCGCCCATGCTTCGTTGATCTGGGGCCCAGGGGCCCCATCCTGCCTGGCAGCATGGGGCTTCGCTATCGGGGCCCCCTGGCCGATCCATCGCGATGCATCGCCGATTCCAGGCCACTGCTCCCCACCCTGAGCCAGCCCCTTCTTTGTCGCTCCCCCAGATCAGGGTAAATAACTCTTGGGAGGTTGGATTCAGTGTGGCGCTGGTATATCCGTGCTCGGAACACGGCCTACTCCAGCAGAGTCTTGGCGAATTCCGCTTGATCGTGTTATTAATATGGCGTCGTCCCAGGCGGAAGCCAGCCCGATCGGGCTTAGTGGCCTCTCGATTGCGCTCAATTTCCTGCCAATGATCGTACGAAGACCTGAGTCAGCCCCACCCCCATTCCCCCAGCACGCCCCAGACCCTTGACTGCAGCCGTGCTGTAGTTCTAGACTGCAGCCAACTCAGCAAATAGCAGGGCGTCCCTATCTATGTCTACGCTAGGTGCACATGTACACCAACTGCAGCACAGCACGCCAGGCCAGACAGGAGCCGTTGCAGACCCTGAGCTTCCACTTCCCCGCAGGATCCCCCTCTCCTTCCCTCCTTCGGCGTAGCGTGTGTCTGTTCCACCCTTGTTGAGGAGGACACCGGACTTCCAGTGGAACCGTTTTCTCGCTCGTGTCGTGCCTCGCTAGTCTCACCCCGATGCCTTTCAACCCAGCCTTCGGCGTGTGGCGGCATCCACGTTTTGGCGCCAGCTGTAGAAGCGTTCCGTCCGCTCCCATCTTCTCCAAGGCGGGGGTGTATTCACAACCGCCGCCTGGGGGGGGGGGGGTCGTCGGTTCCCAGGCGGTGGATGTGGAGCAATGCCCGCCTGGCATCTTCTCCCTTGAAACAAGAAGAACCCACAGGAACCCCCACGGCCGCGGGGTGTGGAAGGGCGCGTGGAGCGACCTGAGCCCGGAGTGGCAGCTGCCGCACGCGCCCGCCCTGCGGCACGACGGCGTCAGGCAGAAGCCGCCGACGGCACGCTTCTGGATGTCGTTCGGCGACTTCCTGAAGTGGTGCTCGGGGAAGCAAAGCATCTTCGATGTCCGTTCGCGGGAGCCCTGGGCGGGGACATTGAAACCAGCCTTTCCTGCACCTGGACCGCACTTTGGGCACCGCCCTTGGCCCCCCCTCCTGCTCCGCCTCGTCCCCCCTGCTCCTCCTCCCCCTTTCGTTCTTCCCGCCTCCCTTCTGAAGGGGTCAATCTGGTCCAAATCCAGCCCATATCCGCTCACTAACGTGTTCCAAGTCTGGTCCGAATCAGGCCCAAATCGGAAAGCGCCACGAACAGACGCCAGAACGGAACAGTCGATTAGCGAAGTCGATTAGCGAACATGCTTCTCTTTTCCGTCCTTGAGTGGGCGGTGTGGCCACGTTTTTGTTGCGGTCCTTTTCACGGAAGGGTGGTTTGCTAAAGGGCTTCGTCCAACCCGACATACTAGCCTCCGTCATACATAGTCGGAGGCTCGCGCGGGTTTCTTGGATGTGCGCTGGGTCACCCTCTGGCGCGCGGAGCGCGCCAGGGGCGGCGCCAGAGGCGCCAGGGAGGTTCAGTGCCGATCCATGAAAGCCTCACGAAGCTTCAGCAGTTCAATGCTTTTGCCGATGTTCTTCTCTGAACGCCGCAGTTCGGACCCACCTGTGTGAACGAACGACGATCGGCGTGTGGTTGGATATTCGTTCAAAGATGTAGCGTCAGCCACTTCTGCCCATGAGATGGAAATCCTTGGGCTGGAAGTGGCGACCAGTTGCGTAGAACATGTCATCCTGCGGTGCTGCTTTTGGCAACTGCCTTGGCGTGACCTGCCTGTGAAACCGCAACCTGAGCGAGGGCGAGCAACCTCAAACATCAATTAGATCGGGTCTGTCCCTCTGCAGGAGGAATAGTCAGTAATAGTAAGAAAAAGTACGGGGAACGATTTTTTAAACATCGTATTTGTGAATACCGTTTACATTTATGGTTTGACAATTTTTTTTTTTCGTCCGTAATCGCCCCGTATGGGGGACAGGCCCGACCTGAAACAAAACGCGAACTGCTCCGACATCGGGGGCGTCCGCCCCACGAAGGACGGCACAACTACGGTGGGGGCGTTCGTTAAGGAATGCGCCCAGGATGATCAGACCCTGGAGGCTTCCTTATCTGACGAGGGTGGCGGTGGACTTCCACCGGCTTCCAGACTCTGGACTCTTTACCCAAAGCTTCCTTATCCAATGCCCTCACCGTATGGCCCGACGTGCCGACCCCCCCAAAACCCGTGTCGGCCTCCGACGCTCGTGCTGTTCAGCACGGGAGGTGCAAGTCGGGCCTGTCCCTCGACAAGAGGGATATGCAAAACTAGTCAAAAAAACAAGTCTGGGGAAGATGTTTCGACTATGTTTGATGATTTTCGCGTACTTTTTTTTCGCCAAATATATCCGCCTGTAGGGGGACATGCCCGACCTAAGCCGACCCCCCCAAACCCGTGTCTGCCTCCAGAAGTTGATGGTCGTGCTGTTTAGCACGGGAGGTTCATGCGGCGTTGGCGCGCCGGCGACGCAGGCGTAGGCGTTCATTCAAGGTTGAGTTCAGAGCTCAACCTTGAACGCCACAGGGCCCGACGGAATTCGACCTTTGACGATCGGGGCCTCGATCGATTCGAGGTCGAACGATCGACGCGGTGTCGGAAATATTTGCGCGTGCCGACGCCGCACGAGCCTACCGGTAGGTTCGTGCGGCCTTGGCGCGCGCAAAGGTTCTTGATTCTGCGTCGATCGTTCAAGCTTGAATCGATCGCGGCCCCGATCGTTCAAGGTCGAATTCCGTAATGTCCAATGGCGGTACCGTGTCCTTCGGTGCTTCCGCGTCATAGACTGTAACCTTGAAAGCCTTCGCTGGCATCGACGGCGCGCCAACGCCGCATGAACCTACCGTACCTTGGTGACCTCGGGCCAGGTTTACAGGCCTCTTCGGGGGCCCTCCGAGCATGCTGAGGGGTCTTGTGCTCACAGCGGAGGAGGAGGAGGAGGAGGAGGAGGAGGAGGAGGAGGAGGAGAGGAGGAGGAGGAGGAGGAGGAGGAGGAGGGAGGAGGAGGGAGGAGGAGGAGGAGGAGGAGGAGGAGGAGGAGGAGGAGGAGGAGGAGGAGGAGGAGGAGGAGGAGGAGGAGGAGGAGGAGGGAGGAGGAGGAGGAGGAGGAGGAGGAGGAGGAGGAGGAGGAGGAGGACGAGGAGGAGGAGGAGGAGGAGGCGGAGGAGGAGGAGGAGGAGGAGGAGGAGGAGGAGGAGGAGGAGGGAGGAGGAGGAGGAGGAGGGAGAAGGAGGAGAGAGGAGGAGGAGGAGGGGGGGGAGGAGGAGGAGGAGGAGGAGGAGGAGGAGGAGGAGGAAGAGGAGGAGGAGGAGGAGGAAGAGGAGGAGGAGGAGGAGGAGGAGGAGGAGGAGGAGGAGGAGGAGGAGGAGGAGGTGGGGGAGGCCTGAGCGGGCGGTTGCTCGGCCCGTCTCGCCACAGCGGGGCGTTTCTTGCAGTCCTGGGGCCCGGCGGGGGCACCCAGGGGCACAAAACAAGTGGAACAGATCCCTTCTATCGGAGCGTGAATTACCTACCCCGCTTTCGCTTCCAGGCAAAACCAAGTCATACCACGCGCCTCCTCGTCAAGCGGCCTAACCAGTACAGGCCGTAGTTTGGCATCGCTTGGTATCTCTTGGAAGCGAGGGTGGTCAAAAGCGAGGTAGCTTTGTTTTCCCCCTATTCTAATTCTCTCAGTACGTTGGAGATCTCGGCTCGACTCTTCGTTTCCTTGGATCGCTCTCGGCGAGGCGCAGCTGCCGGAAAGCACCCCGAGGCTGGAAAGCCTCGGGGAGCCGACGAGCACGTCGTACCTCGTCGACGGAATCCGAACCCTATCCTCGCCGATACAACGGTTCAAGCAAACCAATGGGCGACCGAAGTGGGGTCCAGAATTCGCCTAAAACGTCGCGAAATGCGAGCCCTACCCCCGACCCCCATCGATTCAGGAGATTCGACGCTTGGCGGGGGCAGGTTGTGGATGTCGCCGCCTGAGGAAGCGTTGAGCTTCCCCCCTCGGCGCGTCGCCGATCGGCTCCTTGAGGTTCGGCTCGGTGCAGTACTGCAAGGTGCGCGAAGACGCGGCCTGGGGCGACGAGCGGCTGCCCGTGCCGCTTGCGCCGCCGGGCGTGCTGGGAGACCGCGCGCGGGCGATGCGTTTCCGCGCGCGCGAGCGCACCACGGTGGATCGGGGGGCGTCCATCTAAGTCTCCCAAGTGGGGTCCTCGTACAGTCGAGCGTGTGATCAAGAAACCTCCTCCCGAAAAGCTGGGTCAGCGTTTCTTGACGAAATTGCCAAAAAGTTGGCCCAGTTTCTGGACCAGGTTCGCCCCTCCAGCGTTTACAACAGAAATTGGCCCAGGCTTGTTTCAAGCCGCTTCCTGGAATCTGGCCCAGACTTCGTAAGTGATACTCTTATGGAAATATGTTCGGGTGTAGATGGGGTAGGAGGACCGCTGCGCCTAGACGATGCGCGATGCGAAGCCAGAGTTTCTTCACGCCAATGGCGCCGATGCATCGCCCGATGCATCGCCCGATGCGTTGGCGATGCGGCACCACCCTCCGACCCCACCTACGTACTCGAATCCCGTCCAGGAGGCATCTAGGAGCCCGGGGCCTCCAGCGTCGCGAGAGCTCAAGGCCGAGATTGTTGCGCTGTGTTCGGCCGCAGGCGGCCCTCGCTGGGCTCGGGGAGCGTCAAGTCGGTATCGTTCAATCGATCCCCATCCCCATCCACATCATGTGGAATCCACATCCCCTTCGAGACCCCCACCAAATTCACCCAGTTGGGGATACACCCCTCGAAACCCGAAGGGAACGGCCTATATCCCCCTCTAGGGGGGTAAATCGGCCAGTGGGGCCCAAGCCACGCCGCTGGGGATGGGGATCGGATAAACGATGCTCAGCAAGGAATCACTCGGGATGAACTTCTGGCCCCGAGGGAGGGTTACAGATCTCTAAGCGGTCCACGTTGCGACAAGGTCACGACGTCGGAGTTCTGGATCCAAGAGGGGGGTGAGGACGTTTTCGCGGTCCAAAGGGGTCGGGAGTTTCTGCGGATGTTGGTGCAGCCGGGACATCACACAAGAGATCTGCCTGCCAGCAGGTGCCCCGCGGACATTCCCGTCAACACACAGACGAACCATGTGCCCCACGGTCTTCTTATCGCGAGATCTCTTGTCGCATGTGCCTGGTGTGGAAGGGAATGAAGACCAGTATCTGGAGGTTTCAGCCGTGTTCGACGGTCTGGGAGGCTTTCCGCCCAGATCAGGGCCACGGAACCTCCCATGCCATGGCCCGCTCTTCTCTCAGGGGTGGCCTCGCCGACTTCGGGCAAACCGTCCCCTTCCGTGACGTGCCTCTCGACTTGTGCATGCGGCTGGAGGGAGGCATTGGAAGGCGAGGAGGACGTCACGGAAGGTGCCAGTCAGGGGGCAGAGGCAGAACTCGCCACCTCCTCCTCCACCTCCTGCTCCTCCTCCTGCCCCTCCCCCTCCTCCTCCTCCTCCTCCTCCTCCTCCTCCTCCTCCTCCTCCTCCTCCTCCTCCTCCTCCTCCTCCTCCTCCTCCTCCCCCTCCTCCCCCTCCTCCTCCTCCTCCTCCTCCTCCTCCTCCTCCTCCTCCTCCTCCTCCTCCTCCTGGCCCCCGCTCGGCTGCTCGCGCGCCTTGGGCCATGCTGTGCCCTCTCCCCTCAGAGGAGGAAAAAGGTGCCCATGCTGCTACCCTTCGCCCGTTTTCCCTTCTTATGGGCCTTCTCGGGGGGCCCTCGTCGCCACCGCCAGACTCGCCTCGAAGTCCTGATCAGAACGCACAATGGGGGAGAGGTGCGGGGAGCAGCGGTGTTGGTACCTTCTGGTCTCCCCCACCTCCTCTGCACGGTTTCCCCCGGGGCCGTAGGCGACCCGAGGAGGGGGAGGTGGAGGAGGAGGAGGAGGAGGAGGAGGAGGAGGTGGAGGAGGGGGAGGGGGAGGAGGAGACGGAGGAGGAGGAGGAGAAGGAGGGAGGAGGATGAAGAGGAGGAGGAGGAGGCGGAGGAGGAGGCGGAGGAGGAGGAGGAGGAGGAGGAGGACGGGTCGCCTAAGCCCTTCGGGGAAACCCTCCATCCCCCCCCTCCCTGCCCCACCCCCCCTCTTCGGCGCACCCGAGGTGGAGCTGGCGATGCTGCAGGCGGGCGGCCGTGGGCGCGGGACCTCCGAGAGGGAACAACCCTCGGAGGAGGAGGCGGTACCACGAGAGGGGGGGGGAGGCTTAAGTCGGGGCTCTCCCTCTACAGGAGGAGGGGGGGATAGGCTTAAGTCGGGCCTCTCCCTCTACAGGAGGAATACTTTCAACATAGGACAACTATATATTCGGGGGACGATTCTTGAATGTTTCTGACAATTGTTGAATCTGTTTTGTGTGACTATGTTTCGATTGTCGTCCAGAGAGAATACGCCTGCTGGGGGGACATGCCCGACCTAACAGTAGGGGGAGATAGGCATAGGGGGGAACGCATCGATCCCGCATCGCCCATGAATCGCCGATGGGGTCTGATAGCCCCACCCCGCCCAAGAAAAGGTACGGTTTCGCCATCGGGGGCCTGTCACCGATCTGCTGGAGCGTTGTCGCCGGTTCCAGGTAGGTGCATTATGCCCCCGATGCCAGTCCCCCCTCCCCAGACATCCGACGTCTCGATTTTGTTCGAGGCACGGGCCCCCGACTTCCCGACCACTTCCCCGGGGCCGGTTCTTCATCCCGAGTCGTTTTGTGACTGTCCCGAGGCCCGGCGAGGGCCCCGGGAGGCCCAAAACTACGAAAACCTCCGTCTCGATTTTTTCGAGACGCCCGACGCCTGGGTCTATCCTTGCCCAGCGTAGTGCTCGGAGGAGGCACAGCGGCACAAACATGAGCTTTTGGGAGCTCCGCGCGCGAGCTCCCCCGCCCTGGGGCCTCCGCCGCCGCCACCAGGCGCGCGATTTGCGCGCCATCGGAGCGGGGGCCCAGCGCCGATCCGGGCCCAGCGCGGAGCTGCAGCAGTTGTCGGGGGTGGGCAGACCTCCTGCCCGGACACGTCGATCAGCGAACTGGCCGTTCTCGGTTGGCGAGAGGGCGTCGCGGCCGTCCTTTTTGCGGGCCCAGGTCCATCGGTTTCGGTCCCAGGCCGTTTTCACTAAAGGGTGGTTTGCTGAAGGGAGGCTTGTCCACCGCCGTTCGTTGACGCGAGGCGTTGCAGAGCTGGCCTCGCCTTGGAGGGCCGAAGGGGTTGCCACCTCCTCCTCGGCGGAAGGTGGCGGCAGGGCGGCGGGGAGCCCGCGGAGGGACAAAAACGAGGGCCGCTCCACCGGCGGAAGGCCGGCGGAGGCCAGCGGAAGCCAAGGAGGCGCCCCCGAGATCGGGTATAGCCAGGGCTCTGGTCAGGGGGTGACGGTGAGTGGCCCAAATGCGGATTGGAATCACCAAGCCAGGTCTGCCGTAGTCAGAGGCCAGCAACATATGTACACGTACGCGGTCAGCTTCCCCTGGAGTGCGTGTCAACGCGGACGTTCGTGCAGGCAAGACCGTGGAGGGCGTACATGTACATACGTCGTTGCTCGCCCACGTAGCTGGTGCTTTTCGGGTGACGGTCATTCCGGTTGTCCCCGGTACAGTGCACTGAACCAGGTTCCGCCAAACCCAGTCCTGCCATCGCCCGACAAGACATGGACACGCTGCGGTACTCGCCTCGAGGCTCTGGTCCGGGCGCGCCCCGGGAGAGGTCATGGGGAGCAGCGGTGCGGGCATCCGGCGGCGCTCCGAGGGGGGGAAGAGCGAGAGGGGGACGGCCTCCTCAGTTTGGAGGCGGCGGCGCTTCGGAGAAGGCCCAACAAGCTTCTCAGAGGGCCCGCGGAGCCTTCTGAGGAGGCCCGCCCCCTCTGCATTCCCCCCCTGGGCGCGCCCGCCGAAGAGCCCGCCCCTGGGAGAGGTCCGGGGAACAGCGGTGTCTAGACCACCTTCCTGTGCCGGAGCGCTCTCGGAGCGTCCCGGAACGCTCTGCGAATGCCGCGGCGCCCGAGGCGTCCTCCAGATCCGCCGGATCTCAGAGATTCTCGATTTGTCCTCACCGGAATTCGTCCTCGTCCTGGCTTCGTCCTATGTTCCCCCAGGACCGCCGTGGGCGTGGTGGACCTTGGCTTCGTACTCCTGAGGCTCGCGGCTCCCGGGGAGGCGGGCCCGTGCATGGTCCTCCGCGGCGAGCGCTTCAAGATGCTCGGGGCGGGCGGCGCGGGGGAGTGCGAGCGGCGGCTGAAGATCGAGGAACAAAAGACGGCACGAGCATTGACTTTCGGAGCTCCGCGCAAGGGCGCGCCCAGGGGGGGAATGCAGAGGGGGCGGGCCTCCTCAGATGGCTCCGCGGGCCCTCTGAGAAGCTTGTTGGGCCTTCTCCGAAGCGCCGCCGCCTCCAAACTGAGGAGGCCGTCCCCCTCTCGCTCTTCCCCCCCTCGGAGCGCCGCCGGATGCCCGCACCGCTGCTCCCCATGACCTCTCCGGGGGCGCGCCCAGGCCAGAGCCTCGAGGCGAGTACCGCAGCGTGGCGACGAGGGCTTCCCAGGAGGAGCAGCGGCACCGCCACAGGCAAAGCTGATGGGAAGGATGCGCGATAACTGAGGATGCGAGCCCCCTTCACCGAGCTCGTTCCACTATGCCCGCAAAGGGACTACTCTCAAGCGTCACCAAAAATCACGTGTCTGCTTCGATGTAATGTATCGCAGATCCCCCGCGGCGGATCTAGGCCATTTGCGAGTAGTCACTTTGCGAATCCTGGAACGCGCTCGTCTACCCCTGGACGCCCATATGTCGAGGCTCTTCGAGCGGGGCTGGCCGTCGAAAGGGGTTGAGGACGGAGCGAAGAGGCAAGGCTGCAGGGGTGCCCACGGGAAGTCGAGCGCCCTTACCATCGGTTTCGACGGCATGCTGCCCTCCTCTGGGAACGCAGACCTTCGGAGGCCCGCGCGGACTTCTTGGATCGGCGCTGGCCCCCTCACCCCCGCCCGGCGCGCGGAGCAGAGCGCGCCAGGGGCGGCGCTGGAGGCGTCGCCGGGGGGTGGGCCTGGCGCCGGTCCGAGAACTGGATGCTCGCTCTGGGGGCCGTCCTGGGGGCCACCGAAGGGACATGTTGGACTCCAGTTCGAGTCCAGCTCGACCCAAGTTCGACTCAATTTCGGCACAAACTCTACGCAAGCTCAGTTCAGGTCGACGCAGCTTTGACGCAGCATCGGCGCACGAGTGGAGCGAGCGGCTCCAGGAAGGTCCCTAGACCCTAGAGAACGAGCATCTCACAAGAACTCCGCGCGGAGTTCTGATGTTTTTTTTTGTGCTGGCCTTCTTCCTCGAACAAGAGTTGCGTATCGCTGGAGGCCATTCTCGAGCCAGGGGAGTATGCGCTGGTGCCGACCGTGCTGGCGGGCCGTCGCGCCGCTCGGCCAGGCACGGGCGCAACGCTAGGGAAGGGCTCGGGGGGAATGCATCGATCCCCGATCGCCTGGCCGTCGCCGATAGGGGCCCAGGGGCAACGTCAGGGGGGGACGTTTTGGGTTCGAGGTTCGAGGTTTTCGGGCGTCTTTGTTGGTTCTTGGAGGTTCTCTGGCCTCGGGGTGCGTTCCAGCAGCTGCGCCTTGCCGAGGGCGTTTCGGGGGGGGGGGGGGGGGGGGGGGGGCGGATCGTCCCGAACGGCCGCCGGAGAGCCGAGTTAGGACCAGAAGCCAGACACGAGGAGAATTGAGAGGGATATGTTCAGGGTGGGATGCCTCGACCCCCGATCGCCCATTCGTCGCCGTTCAGGGGCCCGATGGCCCCACCCCGCCAAGGAGCGTGCGTTTCCGCTGTCGGGGACCGATCGCCGATGTGTCGGCGATGTATCGCCGATTCCAGCCTGAGGTTTCCCCCCCTGAGTTCACATGCTTGCCGCGACTTCATTGTGGCACTCGCTTAACGCGGGAATGTGCTCTTACAGTCGGCATTCGCCGCATGTTTCACGTCGCCAGTAGTCGCAGACTGCACCGGGTGAGACGAGTATGATGTTCGTCATCGATGGTTCACGCCCTCCCCTCCGTCCTCCTCTGTCCCCCCCTCTCCGAAATCGTTGCGCTGGAGAAAAAAATAGTTTTTATCTCCTTCGCATTCCCCCTCGCAGGCAGCCGGCAAGACAGGGGCTCGCTGGTGCTGCACGCGAGCCCGCGCGTCGAGCCGGCGCCGCCGTGGTGCGGGCTGAGCGCGGGAGAGACGTTGAGCTCGGAAGGGGGCCGGTCGAGACAACGGCGGCCTTCTCCCAGCGGGTTGCCCACCCGACCAGCTGAAGATGTCCGGGTCATAGGGATCGGAGAGAGGCAAAACTAGGGCGCCACATGCGAACCCTACCCCTACCCCCACGATTTCTGAAGGGGAGGGTGGGGTTCACTTCGCTCGGGAGCTCCTAAACGAAGTGAGCCCCACCCTCCCCCTCAGAAATCGTGGGGGGTAGGGGTAGGGTTCGCATGTGGCCCCCTAAAAACGCGGTAAACATGCACTGTTGGCGCTCTGCGCGGATTTCTTGGATCCGCGCTGGGCCCCCCTGGCGGCGCCTCCGGCGCCGCACCTGGCGCGCTCCGCGCGCCAGGGAGGAGGGTCCAGCGCAGATCCAAGAAATCCGCGCGGGCCGCCGACAGCTTATGTTTATGCCATTTGTTGTTGTTGTTATTCTTCTTCTTTGACCCGCGTTTTCCCCACCCGACTGGTTGGTTGAAGTTGTTCGGGCCTTCGCGCACCCTGCGTACCTTTACCGCCAGACCCCAAAAGTGTGCTGGTGCTCCTTGGGTATCCCGCCTCGTGCCTTCGACGATGGACGTCTGCATACCTCGGGAGCCAGGCCCAGATTGTGCTGGCGCTCCCTGGGTATCCCGCCTCGCATTCTTGCGCGGGGTTCGCTCGAAGTAACATTTGCGGTCTTTTGTTTGCCTCCAGGAGGCTTCTGGTCGCCACGGCCAGATCCGCTTCGAGCCGGCGGGTCAGGATGAGCGGATGCAGAATCAAGAGGAAGCAGCTGCACAAGCGTGCAATTTCGGAGGTCCGCGCGGATCTCTTGGACTGGCGCTCGGCCCACCTCTTTGGCGCGCGGAGCGCGACAGGGACGACGCCGGAGGCGAGGCGTCGCCCGGGGGGGCTTGGCGCCGATCCCGCGTTATTCTATGCTTGTGCGGATTCTTGCTCCTCGAGATGCGGACCGGCCGGGGGAGCCGCGGTTGTCTCAGCTGGCCTTCCTCCGATGAGAGACCTGACTCTGTTGCGCGCTCAGGCGGTTGAGGGCCGGCTCAGCACGACCACCGGCGACGGCGGTGAGATCTACTTCATCGAGGATCACCGAGCGCGTTCCACTAGTCGCAAAGTGCCTACTCGCAAACGTCTGGAAAACACGTGTCTTCGTCGATGCGAGGGATCGTACATTCCTCGCGGCGGATCCAGGCCATTTGCGAGTAGTGACTTTGCGTGTAGCGGAACGCGCTTGTCCAGAGGAGCCCGCAGGGGTCACCTGCGTCGCCGTGAACCGCAGCGAGAGGTTCGCGCTGCGCGTGACCCTGTGGGCGGATATGGGTACCTTTCAAACCGTTGCTCATGCGATGGTTGCGTCGTCCCCCCAGCGGCGCTGCGCGCCGCTTAGAAGTCCCGGAGTGTCTGCTCGGTGGCGGAGCGTTTTCTGGCCATACCGCCTTGGCAGCCACGTACCACGGTGAAGGCGTTAGTTGAGGAATGGTCCCAGGAGGCGCCAGGCCCCGGAAGATCCCTTAGCTGATGAGGGCGGCGGTGATATCCTTGGCCACTCCACGATTGGCGTTCCACTGGCTTCCAGACCCTGGGTTCCTTATCCACTGGTGCCCTACCCAAAGCCATCACCGTGTGAGATGTTCGTATGATGTGTTCGGATCGGCGCCTCCCAGGGCGTCGCACATGCCGCGCACAGGCAAGATGCTGAGGTAAGCTCTGGGCTCGGGAGTGGCCCGGGTCTGCGGATCGCTCCTGCGACGTCCGTCGTGGCGCCCGTCTTTGGCCCAAGCCCGGCGTGGCCATGAGAGCCCCTCTGTTCCTGATTCTGCGTTCCTATCGGTAGCACGATGGCTGCATGACTAGTATGCCCTCGTGCGTCCTAGGACAAGTCGAAGAACGTTGAGGCGTCGCGCGGCAGCCTGCGCACGGACGACACCCTGCCGCCAGGCAGGGCCCAGGTGGTGCAGGCCTCGGGAGTTTCGTAATGGGTGGTGCGATAAGTCCAGACCTTCGACGATCCTCTTCGATTTCCTCGATTTCGGCGGCGGCTTTCCTCGATCCTCGATACTCCCAATTTTCAATCGCTGTTTCCTCGATTTGGGCTTTCGGTGGCGCGCTTTCGGACCCCCGGGACCGTCACAGACGGATCCGGGGCGAAAAGCGATCCCCGGGAGAAGGAGCTCTGGGGCAGCGGGTTGCAACAATCGCAGTGGCGGACGCCAGGGAACCGGGGGGGGAGGGCTGCAAGAGAGGGGCGCTATTGCAACAACCTTAGTGGCGGAGGTTACGGAACGGGGGGGGGACGACGGCTTCAAGAGAGGGGCGCAATTGCACCATTCTTGGTGGCGGTCGCCAGGGAGCGGGGGGGGGGGCAGCGAGGGCTGCAGGAGAAGGGCGGACCTCAAGGGCTCCGAGTGCGGCCGCCTTGGGGGCCCCCTTTCGATCCTCCCCCCCTCAACGTTTGTTACCTCCTCCTCCTCCTCCTCCTCCTCCCTCCTCCTCCTCCTCCTCCCTCCTCCTCCCTCCTCCTCCTCCTCTCCTCCTCCTCCTCCTCCTCCTCCTCCTCTCCTCCTCCTCCTCCTCCTCCTCCTCCTCCTCCTCCTCCTCCTCCTCCTCCTCGTCCCACAATCAGGTACTGTGGCTCACTCCGCCGGTTCTGGCCCACCACGCTTCGCCGCGACGCGCTGTCCACGTTCCCATGTTCTTGAAGCGTCAGCGTCCCCAGCTAGCCGTTCCCAGACTCCCGCCCCGCGGAGCGCAGCGACACGCTGTCCTAGGCCGTCGCCGCGACACGCTATGCAAAAGTTCGTGACCGTTCAGCCAAGACGCTGCAAACATCCATGACCGTGGCCAGAGTCGCCCTCTCGTTCCTTATGATGTGTTCCTTCTGTGGGGCGAGCGCCCTGCCCC